ATGGAAAGGAGGTCAACTGCTATCGTGGGTGGGGCGTACACCAACGTGGGCGGAATTTGTCCTGAACTTATAATTCAGATCCGAAAAGTCTAGGAGACCGGGAAAAAAGAGAGCTGAGTCCGCCAACGGAAGGTCTTTGGGACTTCTTGGAACGAAACTACGAAATTTTTGACGAACCTCGCCCACATTGGTGCGGGTGCCGCCTGCTCCCCCCACCGCCCCCTCCCCCCCAATGGCCATTGACTTCCCTTAGTATTCAGATCCTAATCTCCACTTTTTCCCGGTTTCCAGGACTTCTTGGAACCGACTTATGAATTTTTGTCGCGAACTCAGTTTGCTAACAACCCGCCCACCGCCGACAGCTGACCTCCACAGCGCGCTCCGCCCATTTTGGGCGGGCCTCCACCTTGATGGAGTGAATAAAAAATGATATACTGGGCGCAAATCTGTTACGTTTTGGTATGCGTCGTGCAGAGACCCCACTCATAATCATTTGAAAAGTTTCCTTCCACAAAACAATTTGCTTGTGCAGAGACAAAAAATATCTCTAGTCACAGTTGAGTAGAGTGACTCTTATACTTATAGTCTAGTGCGATCATTCCTTCATTACGTCGGTTTCCAACCCTCTTCCAATAAATGACGCATTTGCGGGTGCAATATGTGACTATGTGCGGAAGGCTACGAATCTTCCCGTCGAACCTTCTACTAATGATACCTGCTCCACTATCTTAAAGCGCCTACACCAACTTCAGAGTAGATATCCCATTTGAGCTTTCATTCCAGTCAGTTTTAAGATATCAGTTGCTTATTCTAATTAGAACTTATGACATTAGTGATGACAGTGAATGGCAGCAGCATAGTGTGTCCTGCACAGTGGCGTTGTTTAACCTTGCGCTTACGACCCCCCTCCAATTCCCATCGGATCAAATACGACCCCCTGTCGAGGAGTCGCGGGGTCGACGCGTTGATTTCAGCACCTGAATCTGGACTGCTTCTTTGACCGATTTTAATACAATTGTTCGCAAACAGCCTATCTCGCATGTACCCACCCATGCCTTTTCTTCGCTTAACTGTCCACGTTGCCCAACATCTCTAGAACTCCCTAGAAATACAATTAGTAAGTCTAGCAAACAAACACCAGCAACTTTGGTGCGTGCTATGGCCGCACCAATAGCATTTGCCCTCCTTTCCTTTGCCAACCCCTAACCCCTTTCCCCGGTCTCTGGGACTTTTTGGAACCGAAAGTTTTTTACAAACTGCGCCCACTTTGGTGCGTGCTCCGCCCCCCAATGGCAACTGATTTCACCTTCGTAGTCAGACTTGAGCCACTTTTCTCCTGGTCTCCAGGAAGGAACCGAAGTTATGAATTTTCTGTCGCAAATCCCGCCCACTGTTCATGCCCGCCACTGCTGACAGTTGACCTCCACTCGCTTCCACCCAATCTCTATCCACCTTTTTCTGGCTCCTAAGACTCTTCTCACTTATTGAGGAATTTGTAGAAAATGCCCCTTGGGCGGTCAACTCTCGCGTCATGTATGTCCGGGATAACCTTCGATGTTGAATGCGGCAACTGCCCCCCTCCCCTCGGAGACACAAGTGAGGCAAAGAAAATTTACTGGTGTGGGGATAAAAAGGAACTTGATTCCAGAACCCATTTCGAACGACACGTCCATTACGAGAGTTTCCCTGCCATTCTATTCCTCCAGACCCACTTGCTAGCCTCATCATTTTTCCAACCTCTGTGACTCGGCCTCTTTTTTGTGCAAAGTGGCTTGGGGTTGGGACCACGTGACGCTGTCTGCTCCTAGCGCTCAAGCGAAATAGTGTAAGCACGAACATTGCAGCTTTCCACGCATGTCAAGTAACTGTCCTCACCCCTCACCCTCCTAGACTGGCTACACTCCCCCTGCTTCACGGATTTCCCGATGTGCGCAAACATGCCAGGCATACCGAGTCCCGCGCCGCTGCATGGGCTCACTGCGGCTACTGGCAGCGGGTCTCACAAAGAATGGTGCCCTATAATAAAAGAGTCGGCAAGCTGCCCCAGTCAGTAGGAGAACCAAGTCGCTGCTCCACAGAAGCGCTGATTTGATGCTCCTGCTGACAGTGGCAATTTGTCAACATTTTACCCACAGCGAATCCCTGAGCGTTTGAATTCATTGCCATTTCAGTTTTCTCAATGCGGAGCGGGGAATCCATGAGCTAGGGTGAGTGTAGCCAATCTAGGGGGGTTTATTTTGAACGACACTTTCATAACAGGAGTTCCCCTGAAGTTCCTGCACCATTCTTCCAGACCCACTTGCAAACCTCATCATTTTTCCAACCCTCTGTGACTCGGCCTTTTTTGTGTTAAATGGGTTGGGGGTTGGGACCACGCGGCGGCGCTTCACTCAGCGCCTGGCGCTCTCTCAAGCGAAATAGTGTAAACTCGAACATTCCAGCTTTTCACGCATGTCAGGTGACTGCCCTCACCCCCACACCCTAGACTGGCTACACTCCCCCTGGCTCACGGACCTCGGAAATGGTAGATGGCAACGAATTCAAACGCTTAGGATTCTCAAGGAAGCTGTGGGCGGAGAACGGATCATAGCAATCGAATTTCGACTTTTAAAGATGTTGACAAAATGCCCCAGTTAGCAGGAGTATCAAATTATCGCTCCTAGCATGTGACCCGGAAGGAATTTCCACTTCTTCTAAAGCCCCCAATCATTACTGCGAATCTGACCCCAACGGAGCCTTTGCGCAAAAACCGATATTTTCAATCGATATCGATCGATAGCACGTGACCCGAAGAATTTCCACTTTTACTACAGCACCCAATCAATACTGCGATTCCTATCCCCAACGGAGCCCTCTGCGCAAAAACCGATATTTTCAATCGATATCGATCGATAGCACGTGACCCGAAGGAATTGCCACAGTACCCAATCAATACTTGCTATACGACGTGTGCGAATGGAAGAAATGCCCAAACCAGTCGCATCGCCTGGCTACGCTGGGCATTCCGACACCAAGAAGGAGCAGAGCCCGGCGTAGCCGGCCGATGCGACTGGTCTTACGATATTAGAGAGATATTGCTTTTGAAGCGGCAAAAACTCGCATGAAAATTTCAGCATCCTCGACGTCCCTCGACGAAATTTCAGAGACCCTCTTTCTGCATGGAAGGCTTTCAGAGCAATTCAATACTTCATCGAGGGTGTAGATTTCGACGGTTTTTTTTTCGGGATTTCAGCAAATCTGACCCAGTGACAATCGCGCCGCAGCTGCCGTTGAATCGGCCGTTGATTGATACACTCGGCTGTTTTGATATACTCAAGCAGGAATTAAGATTGAATCGCAACCCCGTGCCTTCAGGATTTCTGTGCATTTCTGAACGAACCTGACTTTGAGGTCACACAAAGTTAATGCCTCTTTCCTCGAGTCGATATTTCAGTAAATACACAAAAGTGTGCAGCGATGAAAGACAGTGCATAGATGACAAGATGAGGCGTCCATAACATTATTTTGCAGGATTTTTTTTTATTGAATTGATACTTTTCCTTCCTTAATAAGACTTAGTCCTAGTGCTCCCCCAAACGCGTGAGAGTCCCAGAAAAACACAAAGTAGTGCTTTTCTGTCTGGGCTCTCACGCGTTGGTTGACCACCGCCCCGTAAGCTGGCGAAGGGCTCGAAGGGAGGCGCTGTAAAATCATCAAGGCGGTAGCTAAGAGCTGATCTCAGACTGGAGAGATAATGGGAATGAGGAGAGGCGAGACAGTTAGACGAGGGATTGACAATAGTTTTCATGGAATAACTTATTGTCATTTCAAGCATATTAGTAGTTTTACACATGGTTAGACTCGCCACAGAGAGGCGAGTCTATTGCTAAAGATCTTTCCATTTTACCCGCTTTCAAGGAAGTTATAATGGTGCGACGGTTTGCGACGCTACAAAACCGTCGCAACGCGTAGATGTTCAAAAGTTAGGAGCAGTATTGTATATGCGATTAGGCGATTAAAGGCAAGATTCAGGATTAAATTGATGAGGTAATTCCACTCAAATGTGAAAGTAGGGGTAGGAGGTGGACCGCCAGTGGAGAAAAAGGAAAAAAATCGTGAAATACACAGGAAATACGAGCCTTTTGCTCTACGCTGCGGAGAAGTTCAAAAGGCCGGCAGGGAGATGAGAGATAATGTGAGCGCGGAGAGCGTAGAGAAGTCCGAGTAGAGAGAGCATAGCAGATCAAGTTAGCGACGCAGACAAGATATCGAGCGGTGGGCGGACCATGTTAGTTTGGTGGAGTCTGTTAGAAGTTCATGGCGCCTAGTCGTCTAAGTAACGCTTTTCGAAGTAGGGAAGTGACGCGACCTTTGCACTTGCGTACCTAGCGCTTCTAGCCACAGTAAAGGCTCATTAAGTGGGTCTGAGCCCGAACTTTGCCTTTAAGCGATTAATCGAGGAAGGAAAAGCATATGTATCGAACAGGCGATGAGGCGACATTAATGTAGGCGGTTAGGCGAAAACCTCAAGTGTGTTGATTGGTTTTGCTCCTCACACGCAGCGTTCGCCTGATCGATACGTATACTTTCCTTCAACATTAGCAGTCTCAGTACTTCTGTCTCGTGAGCTTGGCGTCAGCGTTTGTATGATGTGGGAAGAGCTCTCACAAGTGCAACAGCCATTATCAGCACCTTTTGTATCTTAATGCTCCTTCGAAAGGCTCAGTCCCAAGGCAGAAATGCTTTTCCAGCTACGCTCTTACCTTCTTACGGAAGCCTTGTAACCTGAACACCATTTCATCACCTATTCGCCAGTTGGATTAATCGTAATTGCCTAACTGCAACAATCGCGGAGGATGAACACTACCTAATGTGGCTTGTTTTTGGAACTGCTTGCTGTATCTCATTTTGAAGTCTTGATGCGCACTGTTTGGTGAAGGGGAGCGTTTCTCATTGTTGTCAGTTCTGCATGACAGGTTGGTCGACACTTTTCACAGCAATGGTTCTTGTCCTTCAGAGAAATGAGTATAGGCGTACCCATCGTCGTCGAGCAGTTAGTTTCAATCCAATGGCAAAATGTGAAGGTAACGACGAAAAATGGTCGACAGATATTGCAAGATGTCAGCGGGATTGCTGTTCCCAGAGAAATGATTGCCCTCATGGGTGCTAGGTATGTGACAGGGTTCTGTATCATACTGCTGCTGTTATTAGCATTGACGATGTCCTCTTTTAGTGGAACTGGCAAGACTACTCTACTAAACGCGCTTCTTGAACGGAACCTTGGCGGACTTACCGTTGAAGGCAAAGTGCTGGTGAATGGACAAAATATTGGCAGAGGAGTCACGAGTGTGTCGGCTTATGTGCAGCAAGAGGATCTGTTCGTGGGCACCCTAACGGTAAAAAGCGTGTTTAACAATTTTCAATGAACCACACACAGCCCTAATTGAGAAGAGTGCATATCTACAATGGTCACAGATGTAATTTGAGCCTTCAAAAGAATAACTCGATGACGCAATGTTATGTTGAGCTTACATTCTTAAGTTCGGGCAATTCGAACTAGGGGGGGGTGTGGACCGGGTACTTGCTGTGTGAGAGATAGATCGTGCTTGAGCTTAGTCATTGGAAATAAGGGTAGAGGTGGTCAGTGGAGCAGGGATGAAGAAGAAACCATTTGAAACGGCCCGAAACCCGAGAAATGGGACCCTTCCTTGCCCGTTGATTTGCGCATTGATGCGACTCTCATCGCTGTGCCCTCTTCAACACTACGCTCTCTCTGCTATCTAATCACTCGCCACGTATAGACCTGCGGCGAGTGATTAGATAGTCGGTGGGCGTACCCCGCCAACCGCGCCAAGTGAGCCATGCTAGATCGCCGAGGTCAAATCTTTCGCTGCCAATTGCGCGTCGGTCAGCACCCTCAGGAGGTCCGCCTGTCTCCCAACTATGCAATTTTCCCTTCTTTGACCTTCGTTCTTCGTGAATTCCTCCTTTAACTCCTCGATGACTTGATTACGTGAACGGCTCACGGGGTTTATCCGGGGATTTGCGGTCAAAGATATTTGTAGAATCTAGTGCAATATAATTTGTCTCCCAATCATGCAATTTTTCTCTTCTTTGGTCTTCGTTCCAATCGTGAAATCTTCCTTGGAGTTTTTCTCGGTAGGGTGGAGTCGTATTTTTGGCTGCGATAGTGAGGGTGGTGGTCGGAGATGGGGAAGGGATCGCATAGAGGGGCGCTCATAGGGCTGATAGTGATGGTGATGGGTCGTATCAAAA